CAAAAACCCCCCCCCCCCCCCCCCCATTCAGCTCCATTCTCTACTCAGGAGGCCGGCGAGGAATAGCAGGAGGAGTGCAGCTCGGGACTGAGTATGCTGGCAGAGCGATGATTTGCAGGATTTGCAGACACTATTCCAGCCCTTGCGCCTGAGAAGCACCCACAGAATTGTATAGAAAGCTTTCAAAGTAGCTGCCAGGCTACTCCCACTGACTATTAGCCAGCATTATCAGTTTCTGTTTAGGAGAGGCCTTGAGATGGAAAAAGAAGCTTGCTGCAGAGTGGTGGCAGAGTGCAGTCAGCGAAGGCCGGAGGGGCATAGAACAGGAGTGGGGAACTTTTTTGGGTCATGGGCTGCTGACTGACAGAAAAATTAGTTGGGGGCCACATAAAAGTGAGACGCAACCCCCCCCCCACACACACACCCACATTCCCCTTGCACACCAGAACCTAGGGAGGCCCAAGCTACTACATTATGTGGGCCCCCCTAGGCTCTGGGGTAGGGCCAAAAATGAGGGGCTTGCTGTGTGGGAAGGGGCTGCTGGGAAGCGGTGTGAGGTCTGAGCAGGAGGGAGTGCGCAGGAGCAGAGTGGGGGTGCAGGGTCTGGATGGGAGGGGGGCCGCACCAGCTCCCCAATGCTGGAGGGGGTGCCCAGAGTCTCGGGAGCCAGATCCAGGAAAGCTGGGGGCTGCCTTTAGGCCCTGGGACTTAGGTTCCCCACCCTTGCACTGGAAAAACAAGATGAATATGGGTCAGGAGTGAGGTGAAGTGATGGGAAGCCATACTGAGAACCTTGTATAGACTTCAGGGCACTTGGCCCTTCTTATTTCACAACAACTCTAATTTACCAGATTTCACACCAAGCACCAAACAGAGAACAAATATATGGAAATTGTCCCAACAGAGTGCACCCTAAGTAGTAGTTATCCAACGGCCAGCATGGCCCTCCTGGACCGGATCTCACCGGTCCCTCTCCTTCACCCCGGTTCTTGTACCGTCTGCACATTTTCACCACAGCAGTTGCTTGGCATAGTTCTGTCACCTCCGACACATTCTCCTTTCACTCAGTTTAGTTTTATTTTTAATTAACTGAGCAGTGGTGTTAATCACTGGTGTTAGTCACAGTGGCATGACTTTCTTGGATGCTGAGTATTTAAAAGAAAATATGATCCATCCTTGTAAAAGAAATATGAATGAACCTAAAAATATAGTGAAGACCTCGTAACTATAGCGACCAGGATAAAATATTGTTATTCTAACGGTGTAAAAAGGCCACAGCTAATCTACCTGAAACAGATATCCCCTCTAGAACCAGCGTCCCAGCCTCAACCGTGGGCCCTGATGTGGTTTCGTGGGGAGACATGGAGGGGGGACTCAGAGGGAGTACACAGCCCTTGCTGCGACTGCTAATTGGAACAGTGTCTGTACTTTTTAGACCATTCATAAGAGGCCGCAGAAAGATTAGCATACCAACAGACGCAGCACGGTGACATTAATTGGGGTGACAGTCAAAGCGGATCTCTCCCCCACCCCTTTGCAGGCCCATTGTTCACCACAGGAATAAAGAAAAAGTCACCCCCAAGAGCGGAGAACCAAGAGGCCCGTCACCCTGTCACACAGAGGCCTTCCCCGGAAGCTTCCCTACATAATAACAAACTCCTAGGTCTTACCTGTCTTGTTGCTGTCAGCATGCTGGTGGCTACGTGGTTTTGGCAGGTGCTGGATGGGCATGGCTCGTCGAGGCCCTGAATGACAGGGTCTGCAGCCTCCTGGTACATCGGGGAGTGGGAAGGGCAGCCAGTCTGACCACAGTTGTCTCTAGAATAACTGCAGCAATATGCCCCTCTTCTAGCTTCCTAGCTCTGCATCTCATGAAAAGAACAAGAGCTGGTGGAGGGAGGAGGGGGTTATGAAGGAGGGAGAAGGGAGAGAAGAGAGAGCGAGAGGCCGCTCTCGCAGATGCATACACACACAGTGGATAGAGAGACACAGAGACTTGTGCAGGATGGCACAGCCTGTCTTGCTCTCATTATTCCAGCACAGTGGCTGCTGCCTAAGGCTCGCTCCCCAGAATTCACTTGTTTCTGCATACGGTGGAGGGAAAGGGGAGGGCAGAATGATTCCCAGGCGGTTCCTGGAGGACAAGAAAGGAGGGTTAGGACTCACCTGGGTTTATATACACAGGAGAGATTGTTACATGTGCATACAAGAGCTATGCTAGAGGTGAGAAATGGAGCCTGTTGTTATAGGAAACAGTGGCTGGTTGTGCTCGTACTTCTAGATTCACTTGTTCCTTGCCTTTTCAGTTCTTCTATGGATCAAGCAAACATAAAGCCTGTGCCCAGCTGAAGAACAGGGGAGGGGTTAGGGCAGTGGTTTTCAAACTTTGCTTTCTCGTGAACCAGTGGAAGAAAATGATTGATGCCTGCAACCCAACGTAGTTTGACTCGAGTGTGGGGCTGTCGGAGGGGGCTCCAGCGTTGGGGGGGGGGT